CTTGTCAATGCCAGGAAATTTGGAAGACAGCTACTTTGAAGACAGCCATTTGGAAGACAACTGACTGGACAGATCCATTTTTCTCCCCATTCCAAAGAAAGGTGACGCAACAGAATGCTCAAACTATAGAACGATATCACACAGAAGTAAAATTTTGCTTAAGATCATCCAATAATGGTTGCAGCAGAACATTGACAAGGAGCGGACGAAAGTTCAAGTCAGATTCAGAAGCAGACATGGAACAAGGGATATCATTGCTGATGTCAGATGAATCTGGCTCAAAGCAGAGAATACCAGAAAGACAATTACTTCTGTTTCATTGACTACACAAAGGCATTCGACTGTGTGGACCATAATAAACTGTGGGCACCTTGCAAAGAATGGGATTTCTGGAACACTTCATTGTGCTCATGAGGAACTTGTCCATGCATCAAGAGTCAATTGTGCAAACAGAACAAGGGAATACTGCCTGGGTTAAAATCAGGAATAGTGTGGATCAGGGTGGTGCCCACTCATCGTGTTCAATCTATGTGCTGAGCAAATCATCAGAGAAGTTGGATGATATGAAGAAGAGTTCAGCATCGGTATTGGGGGAGGGCTTGTTAACAACCTGTGGCATGGAGATGACACATCCTTGCTTGATGAAAGTGAGGAGCAATTGAAGCACTTGCTGATGAAGATCAAGGATTGTAGCCTTCAGTCTGGATTACAACTCAATGTAAGGAAGACCAAAGTCCTCACAACTAGATCAATAGGTAACATCATGATCAATGGAGAAAAGGCTGAAGTTGTCAAGTATTTTGACTTGCTTGGATCCACAGTCAATGCTCGTGGAAGAATCAGCCAAGAGACCAAAAGACACCTTGCATTGGGTAAATCTACTGCACAAAACCTCGTTAGGGTATTGAAGAACAAGGATGTTACTTTGATGATTAAGGTACACCTAACCCAAGCCGTGGTATTCTCCATTGCATCATCTGCATGTGAAAGTTGGACATTACAAAAGGAAGAGCATAGAAGCATCTATGCATTTGAATTGTGGTTCTGGAGAAGAATATTGAAAATAGCATGTACTGCTGAAAGGACAAACCAATCCATACTGAAAGAAGTAAGACCAGAGTACTCCTTAGAGGCAAGGATGGCAAGACTTTGTCTTACATATTTTGGACACATTGTCAGGAGAGACCAGTCCCTAGAGGGTGACAGACATCATGTTTGGTAAAGTCGAAGGGCAGTGACAAAGAGGAAGGCCTTCAATAAGATGGACTGACAAAGTGGCTGTAACAAAGAGCTCAAACTAAGAACAGTTGTGAGGATGGCCCACAGCCGAGCAGTGTTTTACTCTGTTGTGCATAGGGTCACTATGGGTCGGGGCTGACTCAACAACAATATTAAGCAGATTTAGACTCATAGTGACTTTGTAAGACAGGGCATAACTTCCTCCTTGAGTTTCTGAGATTTTTAATCTTTAAGGGAGTAGATAGCTTAATTTCTCTCAAGTTGCAGTTGATGCATTCGAACCTCAGACCTTGTAGTTAGCAACTCAGGGTGTAGCCCACTATGCCACCAGGGAGTGAAACTAGAGGACTTTCTCCATTTCTTGAAGTGCTGTAGGATAGCTGTTGGACCACTAATTATAAGATAAGCCATTCAAGCCCTTTAGCTTCTCAGGACAAAGTGGATGTTGCCTACTCCCATAAGTATTTATACTCTCTGAAATTCTGTATAGGGTCATTATGAGTCAGAATTTACTTGATGGCTGTGAGTTTGGTAATAAGTGATAGAGAGAATTTGACCTTCCATCTGTATGGCTCTCTGCACTCCTCCCTTACATATGGCCATAAAACTGAGTAATCATTTGTCTGAATGGTACAAATGAGTTGCCAGAGATGTAGAGGTGAGGGACATAATCTCTTCCAGCTGGGACAAAGGCAAAGGTTTCACGGTGGGAAGCAGTTGAAGTAGGACTTTAAGGAGGATGGTGGGAGAAGAATACGGAAGAAAATTCTGTATTTCAGAAAGAAAGAATGGCCGTAGAAAAAATGCCAAGAGGAGACAATTCTCAAGGATGGAGGACAATGCTTTTTGATATGCAGATTTTACTGAGGGGTGAACAAGAGATACGGCTGTAAAGGTAAGTTGGGGCCAGAAGGTGTTAGATTTGATGACAGGTGGAGAAAGGCAAATGGGGCCATTGAAGTCCCCTCAGGAAAGTAGGGTCATATGTAAAGTAGATTTATAGTCTGGAAACTCTAAGGAGTAGTTCTACTCAGTCCCATAGGGCTGCCGCAATTAGAATCAGTTCACTGACGATAGGTAGTGGTATGGGTTTATAGACTAGATTTAGAAGGAAAAGAAGAAAGTTGCATAGTACGCTCTTGCAGGTGATGAGCCCTCTGAGCACATTCATAGGGGGAGTGAAGTGGAGGGTCTGGAGGAGAAAAGGACAACCCGTTCCTATTTAATATGGTGAGAACCTCAGTGATAATCTCTGTGGAAAGTGGAACTTTTCACAGAAAGATGGGCATCAGAAAGAGGAGGGCACAAGGACCCACCTGGAGGGTGTCACTAGTAGGCCCAGAGTCTGGTGGCCAGGTCCATTCTGCTGGAGGCAGCAAAGCTAGGTTGAGCCCAGGGGCACAAGGGGATTCAAAAAGTTCATGAGAGAACAAATCCATTATCTTTTAATTCTATTTTCCATGAACTTTTAGAAGCCCCTTCATACTTCAGTGAAAGAGGCTTGAACAGAGACCTGAGCAGCTAGGATCACTTCAGGGACAGCAGACTGGGATAGAGTAGCGATTGAATAAGAGGGATGGGCGAAGGTAATACATTTTAGGACAACCCCCCTCCCAGCAATTATGACCCATTATAGCTTTGCTTCTGAAAGAACCTTGGATTTTATAGGGAATGAATAAATGACAGCAAAGAATTAATGAATTCAAAGTAAGTCAGTATCTGCCTACCAAAGAGAATGTGTGAAACAGCCAATTAGTCAGTAGCCTCCCTATGCAAACTGAGACTAGAGTTCACTGTACATAATTAGATTTGAATTATATAAACTACTCCATAATAGAGCTTATTAGGATGGTTCCTAGACTTGAACTGAATCTTTTTTTTTTTTCTTTTTTAACATTTTATTAGGGGCTCATACAACTGTTATCCCAATCCATACACACATCAATTGTGTAAAGCGCATTTGTA